TTATAGGAATTCAATCGATACGAGTGTGGACTTATGTGGCTGGACCATTAACAATCGAAACATGTTTATGATATTAGACACAAACGCCGCATACGCCATCAGTTAGTGTTCTACAATATTTAAACAAATCATTGATGGTTGTATTAGGTAGTTTCACAGTATACGTAAGTTGTCTTTCTGAAATAAGCGATTACATGATCGTAGGGACATGTCTCAAAAAGAGACAACGAAGCAATTAAATAGTTTGAAAATGAAGTTTGAACATATTATACTCGAAAATACCACGGTTTGATTAGGATTTTCAAATATGTAAAATGCAGACTTAAAGGATATGTTCTCTATACTGGATGCAAGAGGTGTTCCGAATGTTTATTTCCTGCGGGGATGAATGCCCTCCTTGACGTTTTGATAAGATGTCTGACGGTAAGACATACTATGGGCCGTTATAGTCTGTCGCTCTTGTGTAAATGCTCTCTATACATCAGAAATAGTCAAGGTGTTGATTGAAATGTTGTGTATAATTTTAATCTCACCATCTATTTGAATTTTGTAGAATTTTAAAAAACTTTTCCAGCAAAAGATATTACTTAAAACTTGGGTTCGTTTTTTTATCATCGTAACTTAACATTCATTAAAGATGTGATATAATTAACGACTTTAAGTGGCGTGGAAATATCGGTGATAAAGCATGACCTGTTTTTCTGTCACGGCATGTCGGTCAAAGGGTAGTTTGTTCGACTTTGCAATTCGGAGATTTATGCGTAATCTGTTTGTTAAAAACTGTTTATTTTACACATTTGTTTGCTATAATCTTGTTATTTTATATCATGAATATATATATCTAGTATGCATTATAATCCATTATTTTCTTATAAAACATCTTAATATATATGTTTTAAATCACATTTGTTTTACAGTGGTATATCAAATCTGTTAATATGTATCTGCTTTATATCACACGTTTTATATCACATTTATTTTAACAGTGTTATATCAAACCTGTTAATATGTACCTGCTTTATAACACACGTTTTACATCACATTTATTTTTACAGTGTTATATCAAACCTGTTGATATGTATCTGCTTTATAACACACGTTTTATATCACATTTATTTTTACAGTGTTATATCAAACATGTTGATATGTATCTGCTTTATATCACACGTTTTACATCACATTTATTTTTACAGTGGTAAATCAAACCTGTTAATATGCGTCTGCTTTATATCACACGTTTTAAATCACATTTATTTTTACAGTGGTATATCAAACCTGTTAATATGCGTCTGCTTTATATCCCACGTTTTATATCACATTTATTTTTACAGTGTTATATCAAACCTGTTAATATGTATCTGCTTTATATCACACGTTTTAAATCACAATCATTTTTACTGTGGTATATCAAACCTGTTAATATGCGTCTGCTTTATATCCCACGTTTTATATCACATTTATTTGTACAGTGGTATATCAAACCTGTTTATATGTATCTGCTTTATATCCCACGTTTTATATCACATTTATTTTTACTGTGGTATATCAAACCTGTTAATATGTATCTGCTTTATATCACACGTTTTATATATTACTATTAATCATTATATATATTTTTTTCATTTAAAGCTGTACATCTTTTTTATGATACACATGCTTATATTCTTTTGAATTACACCAAATTTTATTTTACATTTGTTTGATAAATGCCTTTTATATCACAGAAAGTTTATGTTTGTTTTATATCATGCATATTTATTTCACAATTACTTTCGGAAAAGTGTTTTAACTGACATGCGTTCGATATTGTTACGTGCAATGTTTATATTTTATACCACTTCTGTAATACTATACATCCATTGTGTCACATCATCTCTATATTACATATTATATTATCATATATTATTCTTTTTATATCAACATTCGTTTAAAATCAATCCTGTTTTAATACTTGCTTAACATCACACGACTTCCTTATTATTGGTTTAGCATCATTCATAATTCATAGAACTTATGTTTTACTCGACACTCCTTTTATATGAAATATGATTCATATCACTCATGTCTCATCAGTATTCATAAAATATCACATCTAATTCGTATAATTCATGTTTTTTTTTCGATGTTCGTTTAATATCAAACTAAATCTGCATTAAACCTGTTTTATGACAATACTTATTTACCACGAGCTTTTGAAATATTTGACTTCTACCAAAAGTAATATATATTTTTTATTGGACCCGTGGGTTAATTGGTATCGGTAATGGTAAAGTTGTGTAAGGTAATCATCAACAGCCTGTTGATGTGAGTCGGTTTATCTGGGAGAGTTAGGGGGAGTGGAATTGTGAGTAGTTCGGCGAGTAGCCGTGAACAGTGTAATTACTGAACTTGGCAAAGTCTTTGAAGGAATTAATCTGCACGATTGTTTTAAATTTGTCGCTGGTTTATTTATGTATTTTTAGTGAGAAGTGATGATCGCCGTGGGATGAATCACCAGATAACACTATCCAAATGTCACTGTACGTTCTGCCCCTCTCCCAGACCTGACGGGGGCCTCTCCCGCTGTCCCTCCCAACCATCACTACACCAATCATTCGCCACCAAAGTTCTCCACACCAATTAACCTGGGCTGAACAAAGTCTTGACTCACGCTTATAGTACTGGTACTAACATCTGGCACATTATATACAACGTAAAACGGTTTTCGAGAAACTACTATATAAAGTTACACCCACCCACACATACATCTACACACATATATAGTAATTATACATATATAACAATAATATATTATTTTCCTGTCTTGTACACTATTGTAGATATGAGTAAAATGACTTAACACTTCGGTAAGTGATGTAAATGTATACATAGAGATGTCATATTTCGCTTTATCAATTATGTAACATTTAACTGTCTTGTAAATTGATGAAAACTTCAATGTGTTTAAAGTGTGTCTTAGATGGACATATCTTTCCATGGCTGTGACTCGTCTTTTTGTCGGTAATGGGATGAGCTATCTTTCCACCCTTGTGTATACAGTGCTCAGTTTGTTGCTTTGTCAAATAATATTCCATCCCATGTTCAGTTCTTTACCCTTTGAAGATTGATAAAATATTGAAAATCCCAATCCGAAGAATGACGTAAATCTATATTGAATTTTCCGAAACTGAAGAAGTTATAATCACCATAACAGCTCAGCCAATTTGGATTAATGTATCAACTAGAAGAGATAACAGGCCACGGACGGAAGGACGGACGAGGACGGACGGCGAGACGGTTTATACAGGTTATTACAGTGACTGTTCACGGCTCTACATTCCATAATATAATGATGAGTCCATTCAGCCACGATCTGGATACATATAATGTCCGGGAGTTACAGCATTATATAAACATTTTGTGCATATATTTGGACCGTGGGCTTGAAATTCGATTCAATGTTCCTATGCATTGCAAGACCTCTCGCGCGCTTACATCCAGACCAACAAGAGTGATTAGCGTAAGTTCGTTGTAAAATTAATGAAGTTTATATTTATACACAGGTTATTTAATATGGTGACTGGTTCACGGGTGGTCGATTTATTAATCAATGAGCATTAAATTTAACACTGCGGTACGTTAATTCACAATTAGTCGGCTAAACAAAAGGACCGCTGAAATATTGACTGGTACTAACCTCACCCGAGAAAACAAGCGGGGAATCTCTCTATATTTATACTAAGTCCTGAGCTTATATTGTAAATAAGTAAACAAACAAGTTTCTGTTCATGTAAAGCATGGACAATAGGTACAGGTGACCGATATAAACAGGTTTAACGATTCCATAAGTTCCTGTCCGTGTACGCACGAATGATGGGTACAGGTGACCGATATAAACAGGTTTAACGATTCCATAAGTTACTGTCCGTGTACGGTACGAATGATGTGTACAGATGACCGATATAGACAGGTTTAACGATTCCATAAGTTCCTGTCCGTGTACGCACGAATGATGGGTACAGGTGACCGATATAAACAGGTTTAACGATTCCATAAGTTCCTGTCCGTGTACGGCACGAATGATGTGTACAGGCAACCGATATAGACAGGTTTAACGATTCCATAAGTTCCTGTCCGTGTACGCACGAACAGGTTTGTCAGTTCCACAGGCCCTTTTATAAATAATTTTACAGAGACATGGCCAGATAACAATTCTAACAATCATAGGATTCCTATGTGAATAAAACCTGAACCGATTTGTGTTATATGGCCAATGTAAACAGATTTATCAATCAGATTGTCTCTATGATGTTCACATTATCGATATAGACAGGTCAATTATCAATATAGAAATAGTGTTTTATATATATATTTACTTATATAGAGTGTAGGCCGATAAGTACAGGTGACCAATATAACTAGGTTTAGTCATCATAAACAGTTCCACTATAGTCTGCATTAAGAAAATCGGCAATTAATTACAAGTGTTTTTTAACAAACCCCTATTATTATGAACAATGACACGATATGAAAAAAAAACAGATTGAACAATGAAATAAAAATGGTCGTTATCTTGATATTTTTGTTTCGACATTCCATGTAGGGTTGATTGAAATCATCACTGTTGGCCTGGAGTGGACTTGTTATGACGACGGGCTGTCAATAAGCCTCCCATTCCAGCCTAAAGGCGCGGGTAGTGGTCAATTATTCTTTGTATAGCTGACAAGATTGGCTGAAACAGAGAACAAACATTTCCTCCCACAAATTTACTAATCAAACAAATGGGACAGACGAATTTCAATTTAAGAGAGATGGAAATAGCGTTAGTATAGCTATAGAGCTGATATTGGCTGTATTCTCCGTGACGTCATAACATCGACTTATCAGAGCATGTATAGGGCTTCCCCTACGCTAGCTGGCAGTATACGCTAGGTCATAGGTACACTGCACAAGCAACATGTGAGCTTTACTTAGAACTCAGGTAAAACGGAATATCGTCTGAAGCCGAGACGGACACAAATATGAAGTTATTTCGACTTCGGTTCATTATTTTGGGACTTTTATTGTGTGTGTTCCACGTGTGGTGTAGAACTTGTGGTACGGATCTCACTGACCCTGCGTCTAGTGCTTACCTGGCGGAGGTGGTGGTGGAGGGACGGGTAGCACAGACCCTACCCCCGGATCACACAGGCCAATTTAATGTTACTATTAGGATAAGGAGTGTATATAAAGGTGTGCCTTCTAGTAAAAGAGGGAAACTAATGACGGTAGGAAAATTTGGGCAAGAAAGTGACCATGAAAATTGTATTTATACCAATATTCGACGGGGGCCTACCCGTTACGTGTTTTTTCTTAAGGAAACGGAACAAAATTACTATACTCTAACAGCATTCCCTGTGAAATTTAGCAAGAAAATTGGACGACAGATTCGGAAAATTTTATGTAAAAAAGGATCATGTGGTACGTATGTGTATTTGTTTACTCCTAAACATTAATACGGTGTGTGTATGTACTTTAACTTTGTCGTCATACAATATCTACATTGTACCTTTTCACCAGTTTGTAATTATATCGTAGACAAACAAGACCTACCAGTATAGAAAATAAAACTCTGGTATGTGCACGCAAGGTCAAATGGTTTAGAATTAGAGATAAGACACCTCACGGTTTAGCCGATAGCATGATGACATTTGATTTTTATGCATGAATGCCACCTACGAATGATTTTATCAATGAGTGAAAAAACTTACACACCCAGATATATTTAAGAATCTACAAACGTGGATTTTCCCCGACACAGACGTTTGACATCGATCTGGTGCACGGTAGACACACGTGTTGCACAACTGAACTGTAGTGTTACGTGTTTATCCTGTCAAATCAGGTCATTCATTTTTTTACCTGTCATGTGTACGCACCTTCATTCTTAAGATAATCTGACAGCTTTAAAACAAGTTGTGTTGTAGTGTGTAGCCCCGATATAAGTCCGTGCTAGGCCGTTAGTCCTGTTAGATGCCCCGTCATGATATCCTCAGGGCACATAAACACGTATTACTGTAATACTTGTTTGTTTTTTTACCTACATTCACGTAATTTACGTAAGTGGAACCGAACAATAATTAACAGCTATTGAACGTAAGTAATCAGTCTTACCGTGTACTTAACTGTGGTGGTGAATGGACGAGATTCTCAAACAGTCCTCGTGGAGATTATCATTCTGTCTAAATTCTATACTCATTAACATGAATGGCTGGTAAAATCTTGGGATTAGACTTGTCCATGTGTACACGGAAACATCGTTTGTATTTCTAAAACAAATTAACATTCAAAGAACATATACCCATTTTCTGCATTAACTCAAATGAAACAAAAATACATTTTCCAGATAATCAATCTTCTTTTAATAAAAAGAAATTTTTTCATATAATTAATCTTTGTTGTTAACAATATCAATTTGTAAAATTATATTTACCAGACTTTAATATCTCAATCCATGAACAGAATTGATCTTCCTTCTTCATGTTTGAAAACTTGAAGTTGTAAAGATATTTTTATTAAGACAGTTTATATATAATATGGCTAAATTGTTCAGACAAAGGTAAAATGAAAATGATAGAAATAATAAAATCACAGTGCTTTTATGTAAAAACTACAAAATAAATTGAAAAAACCAAGGGTTTCATACCAAAAGAAGTAAAAGTGAAATAATTGTATATTTTTTTAATCCAAAGAAAAAATCTTCAGATAAAGAATTCAGGTTATTAGGAAGTCATTTTTTTTTCAATATTAATAATTTTTTGGAGAGATAATGTGGACACAAAATTTAATAAGAAATTAAAGAAAAGAAAGAAATGAAAATATATATAAAATGTTGAAATACAACTCGATGATAACTAAAAGGTTATTTTTTTGAGTGAAGACAAGTGATAATGTTTTGCCAGATTTATTGAGTTATATTTTAATAAGAATGAAAGGAAACATAAGTAAAGTATATCAGATGTTTTACTTTCGTCTAGTCTGCCTTAGATATGTGATACAACCTATAAGGATTAACTAACAGAAAACAACTTTGATATATAGATACATAATGATATGTTAATAACGTTGTAATTAAAAAAAATGAAGTGATATAAAAAATGGAAGAAACTGCACTCAATCACGTGTATTTTAGAGGTCTCTGTTTCTTCATTTAAAAGTTTAGCTCATAGGCTTCTATCAGGTTTTTTTTAAATAGCGTGGTAACTTTTTATCAAGGGTGAGAGATATTAATGTACGACAATATAGTGAGTCAAGCTTCAAATATTGTAACCATTCCATCATAAGTAACGTCTGTTAACAGGTGATTCAGGATTAATGGACAGACATCTGTATGTTTTAAATATTAACATTTCTGCCTGTGTCTGATGGAGGAACAGGGCGTTCACCTGCAATATTCTAGTCAGTAACGGTTTTCATCTAGTGCCAGTGTTCCGTGATTCTGCCTGTTTCTGCTGACACCATGTGTTTTCTAAAGACACAGGGACCCAGGGTGTTCATATCGACACACAGACCCAGGGTGTTCACATAGACACACAAACCAAGGATGTTCACATAGACACAAGGACCCAGGGTGTTCACATAGACACACAGACCCAGGGTGTTCACATAGACAACAGACCCAGGGTGTTCACATAGACACATGGACCCAGGGTGTTCACATAGACATGGACCCAGGATGTTCACATAGACACACAGACCCAAGGTGTTCACATAGACACACGGACCCAGGGTGTTCACATAGACACACGGACCCAGGGTGTTCACATAGACACACGGACCCAGAGTGTTTTCAAAGATCAATCATCACATGACTTGATCCATCATCATATAACAGGTTCTAATTAATTTACATTGTGATGAGCCCAGGTAAAGCTGCCAGAGATTGATGGACTGGGCGCCTGATGATTGCTGACTTTAATGGGCTTGCTAATCTACACTAATTTCTTTATTGATACACACATGGGGACGGGCCATAAAGGGGTTGTTGTGTCCATACAGGGACTTAATATGTTTACTGTCAATTACTCACTTACCACAACATTTTAAAACAACAAATAGTGTACACTTTGTAGATATTGATTCTCTGTGTCAATCATGTGTGATTGTTTCTGTAAATCCTGAAATGTTTGTTTGTTTTATGGTGTATTATGAAATATTGATGTTTGTCTGAGGTCAAACATTACATACAATTTAGTTTTGTGCTCCGAGTGTAACCAGGTTTTGAGTTTTTCTGCACATTTTATCACTTTTCACTTCACTTCAATTTTGGAGGATGGCGATTTAGGAATATACAAGTAGATACCAGTAGGTTATATCTAGTACCTTCTCGGCAAAGTTCATAAGACGAGGATCGAGACAGATAAGATTGGGTATAATATGCATATGTCCTAATGTGACACAGAAATGAAATTATCATTATTCATTTCTTGGAAATCTTAATGTTATGCATTTATTACTTAAGTGAATAATTACATCACAGGTTGATAAAACTATATAATAACACAACGTGATATACCTGGTAAATGTACAGGAGTTGTACCTGATGGCTAGGTCAGACAAGGTGCATGATAATACGTGTGAAAACACTATACACTAGGTTGTATACCTGTATATCTAATGTTCTCATTCTGCCTTTCATAGGGGAGAATGGAATTTTTGTACCAATGGAAATTTAAAACCTTCTACCTAGAATCTACAAAATGATTTGATATGACCTTCAGTAATAAACCCTTTTATCGTGAAATTTCCTTATGCAGAATTTGAACATTTTGAGGTTGTGTCTGCATAATTTTTTTTCAAAGTGTTTTTCATTTTTAGATCTAAAGTCTGATTTTTGTTTCTTTTTACGTATTTATTTAAGAAATATTTATCTTTAAAACAAAAAAATTAATGTTTCTCATTGATATTATTGTTCCTGTAATGAATAAATCAGATTGAAATGAGTTGATATTCTAGCTCCTTTATTCTGATTTCCAATTTTTTAGAGCAATTTCACTCTGACTTTGTAATGTCTGCCCTGCGTATCTGAAAGTTGATTCTGTTATTTCCGTGTTGATGGATTTTCCAGAAATGGGATGGTTAATTTATAGGTTTATTTGGATGAAAAATTTCTTAAGCCCTGTTTGTGGTAAAGTTGAGAAAAAGCCAAACATGTGTATACAGATGGTCATTAAGTAAAACAATTTTTGGTAGTCTCTGGTGTGGAAATACATATACGTGTTTCTTCTAACTTTGCAACTAATTAACACCATTCTGTAAAATAAACGAATAAAGAAAATGTTTCAATAACAATTAAAATGAAGAAATTGTCGGTGTATGATTAGGATTGAAGGATCAGGTTATGACAAGGCATAGGCTGTAAACTGTGTTTTTCTGTTTCTACAGAAGACGACGTCACATCAGTATTTTTACAACAAGATTTAGTATTGCTCTCCTGCTGGGCAAGGGTCAATCCATCCCAGTGTCTACTGTGTGGTTTTATAAAACACTTGTTAAACTGCAGATCTCATCATTCCTGTCTGTATATAATTCTTTTCAGTTGATGTTTTCCCATTTCTCTCATCTTCTAATATTTCATTTTACTAAATGGGTTTTGTATGTGGCTGCATGCCATATACATCGAGGATTGGTACCCCCCTATGTGAGATTTAGGGACAAGGAAGATTTCTGGGCCTTGATTCATCTCATGTTTCACTGGAATGGTAGAAGTGTGCAGTTCCTTGTCCGAATCCCAGTTTGTTCGTGTCATCCCAGAAATAGTTTATACCATACTGATGACCAGGTTTATTAGAATCATCACAGCATTGTGTCATGTTTTTTTTATATCTCTGTACTCTTCATAAAGAGACAGATTACCTCAAAATTTTACCAAGAATTTTGTCCATACTGTCAGTATCATTTCTGTCATTTATTACAGTAATGTGTTTCATAATTGACAATGAGGTGAGGGTTTTGTGCCATTGAGCCCCTGTATATCAAAGACCTGCGGTATCAGTACCTATATGATATGGTAATCATACGTTTTTGTAGTCCAGAACCAATGTGGATGGTTATCCCCTGTAACAGGTTGACCTATGACCTAGAGTGTGTGGGGAGATGCAGGTATTATTACGTGTGTGTGGCATTTGAGCAAGGATCCCGGGAAAGGAAGCACAAGGAGGGTGTGGGATGTTGTGTGGGCGATAAAGGTTGCTCACCTAAGATAAGAAACTGATTCTGATAGAGCATGTAAGAATATTGAAAACGGACATGAAAAAGATAAAAAAATGAAAATTTGACAGTTTGCCAACCAAAATTCAGTTTTTTCTCACATTAATTAAATTTCGTGGGGAGGTGCTTCTAATTGAAGTGACTTTGTACTGGTGTCTGTATAAATTGCTGGGGGAGTTCTTAGGTCTAACAACAAAAAAAGAATAGTTTTG